TTTATTTATTAATGATGTTAATCAATATTAACCTGCTGTCCACTAGGGTATTATTATAACATTAGAGTGCACAACCGATTGCCTCTGTCAGTACTTAAAATGTGATTATGGTGAGGCTAAGAAAATTAGAAAGTGCAGTAAGTAGACCCCACGTTTGTTTCTTCCAAAACCAAGAGGTATCAATGGGCCTGTTCATTATTTTGGGTTATAATTTGCTACTGATACTTAAGAAAAATTATGTATTGGAATTTCAGCCCCATTAACTTATGTGTCTATGCACAAAAGCTTGTGTGCATTTGTATGATAATAACATTTGTAATATTGTCAAATAATATTACATATTAAAAAAAACCCCAAACCAAATATTGTCTCAAAGGAAATATTAACTCCAAAGTACAGCACATCTTTTTGGTTTCCAGTCTTGTTTTTCCCCTGGTAATTATGTTGAATAATATATGATTTTTCATTACAAACTAACCAGTAGGGATTACAAGATACACCACATATCCCAGTTAATGTGATTGTCGGAACCTTAACTATTGCATTCCCATTTGCATTTTACTTCTTACTTTTAACTGAGCAACATTTAATGTTACATTACAATGCATTTGTGTGGGCCTTAATCTTGATCTCTTAAGTGTTCAGGCTTAATGACTCAATTCTTTATTATTTGATTGATATATAAAGTGTCGACTTTAGGTCGACAAATTGACAAATTGGCAAAAGGTCAATTGAACAATGTCCTCATGATTAAAAGCAATAGAGATTACGTTTAAGAAGTTAGCTTCATAAGTATGAACTTCTGTGTATATCTGGATTGCTGTAATCCAATATTGATTAATCTTTCAGCTATATTCCGTTATATATATATATGCATAATTTGAGATTAATTGAGATATATATTTATATATATGTATATAAGTAAAGATTTATGTATATGGTAACATGTATATACTCATGTGAATGAAATCATGTATGTAAGTAAGTTAATGAATGAGAATACTGATTAACAGGCAGTCTTTGCATCTGGTTATTGACAGTCCAGTTACGCCAGTTATCGCTAAGTTACATACTAGTTTTATAAGCTTAAAGAAGATTACATTTAATGCAAAATTATTTAAATGGTAAAATTATGCAATCACAAATTACAATCAAAACTTGTTAGATCAAAACTTCACCTGATGTTTGCTGTAATGAGAATACTGATTAACAGGCAGTCTTTGCATCTGGTTATTGACAGTCCAGTTACGCCAGTTATCGCTAAGTTACATACTAGTTTTATAAGCTTAAAGAAGATTACATTTAATGCAAAATTATTTAAATGGTAAAATTATGCAATCACAAATTACAATCAAAACTTGTTAGATCAAAACTTCACCTGATGTTTGCTGTCTGCCATTTCTTTCTTTTGTGGGTAGGTCATATAGGAAAAAGAGCTAAAAGCTGTAGTGAAAAAAACTCAAGGCTATTACTACTTTTATGCCTTCAAGCACTTGAATTTCACAACTAAACTCTATCTCTTTAAACAGAAGTTATTATAATGCTGTTTCTCAGATTCAAAAGACAAAGAAACCCAATTAAAAAACTTTCTGGTTTATGCAGTGGCAACACTTCCTCTCCTTATTCATGATCACGCGGTTCGGGCTCTGTGTTTCCAGCGTTGCAACACGAAGCAATGTTAGCCCTGGCCAGAGCGTGCTGGGGTCCCGGGGGAGAGCAGGGCTGCGGGGCTGCGCTCTGCGCCTGGCTGGGCTCCGCTCCCCGCGCCCTCGCTTCTGCTGCTGCCCCAGCACCTCCCGAGCTGTCTCCCAACAAGGGCTGTTGGCTGTTGTCCATCTGCTCCTCCCAATGGGAATCTAGTCAACATGAAATCATCATGATTATGTTTTAAATGAGACTCGAAATGGTCACAGCAGGGCTGCATTTTACACCCATGGCTAGTCCTCAGCAGGAGGAAAACTTGTCAGGGTCAAGTCTGATGGCCTGATGGGGCTATGCCAAGTCTAGCTCTCAAGAATTTAGAAATTCGCATCTGTGACCTGCTTTGGGTGATAGAGATACGCAATGTCCTTGTGGTCTGGTGATGCCATCTGAAAGTTTAAAGCATTTTTTTTCCTAAAACTTTATTCACAGTGTGCAGTTGTGTGTCGATTTGGTCACTGCCTAGGTAGTTTCTGAATCTGAGGCCAGGATGTGAAACTAATGTAGAATATATATGTATATTGGCCATATGTCACCATATATATATATATATATAGCAGCTGCTTGCTGTCAGGCTTGTCACAAATCTCTAGGCACAGGTAGGATTCAAAGAGAACTGTTCTAAACAAGAATCTGCTCAGACAGCAACTAAGTTAACAGGACCTCTTTGCAGCAGATCCTAACCTTTGCACATACAACAGAAGAAAAATAGTGAGTTTAAATTCCCCTGAGTTTATTTAAAATATGGAAATTTTGTCATAATTATGGGGAGACACATCTTGGTCGACTGTTTTGACTCAGCCAATAAACGGTAGCAAAAGAGTCTACAGGGAGCGGTTTAGAATAAAACTGGTGGGAAATTTTGTTTTGGAAACACTGACACATGTGGTTCCTAAAACACTGTATGATCCCTGGAACTGGGGTGCTCCTGACTGAAGACTGGCATTCTTCTCCGTTTTATCACAGTTGAAGAACAACCATTTCAGTCTGCTCTTCAGGGGTCTCTTGACACCATATCCACATTTCCATGTGCCTTTCTGTGGACCAGACATCCCAGAGCTCCCAAAATTGGACCTGGCATGCCTCATGAACTTTGGTCTGCACTGACAGGGAAATTTCAGGGATAGGACATCTGGGAATCTTTTCTGTGTCCCCAAAGGCACAGCATGTTCAAGAGATTATTCTGGGTCATTTTGCCTGGCCTGATCCTGCCCTGGGCCACCTTGCATGCCCACCCATGTGGAAGCCAAGCCTCCTCAGCAGTTCTGTATGGGAGTCTTGCCAGCTTTGGAGATCTTATAACCTCTAATGCAATGCTGAGTCCCATTTCAGACATTTGATATCTAGCAACTTCAGTGGCACTGCCCTCATTAACACCATGGATGGATTTGGCCGAGTACCTGAGACTTCAGTGCTCATTACATGACGATTCTGGTAACATTACATTTACTGATACATATTTCCTGAAAGGAGGGGTTGTTACGTGTGATAGTGCCCTCAGAGTACTCTAAGAAATTACAGAATCATTACTTGAGGATTCAGGTTCCCCCGTCATCAGTGTGTCTGTATCATTTCACACATGAAATAACACATTAAGATGTTGTTAGTGGATATGACAATCTATCCTACTTTCCTCTGGGGACCAGGATATGACTAGATAATGGCTTATGGATATATTTATAGATAGAATAATAGAATCATAGAATAGTTTGGGTTGGAAGGGACCTCAAAGATCATCTAGTTCCAACCCCCCTGCCATGGGCAGGGACACCCTCCACTAGACCACGTTGCCCAAAGCTTCATCCAGCCTGGCCTTAAACACTTCCAGGGATGGGCCATCCACAACCTCTCTGGGCAACCTGTTCCAGTGCCTCACCACTCTCACAGTGAAGAATTTCTTTCTAACATCTAATCTAAATCGACCCTCCTTCAGCTTGATCCCATTACCTCTTGTCCTATCACTACATGCCCTTGTAAACAGTCCCTCTCCAGATTTCTTGTAGGCCCCTTCAGGTACTGGAAGGCTGCTATAAGGTCTCCCCAGAGCCTTCTCTTCTCCAGGCTGAACAAGCCCAACTCTCTCAGCCTGTCCTCACAGGAGAGGTGCTCCAGCCCTCTGATGAACTTCAGGGCCCTCCTCTGGACCTGCTCCAACAGCTCCATGTCCTTCTTGTACTGAGGACCCCAGAGCTGGACGCAGTAGTCCAGGCAGGGCCTCATGAGAGCAGAGTAGAGGGGCAGGATCCCCTCCCTCAACCTGCTGGTCACACTGCTTTTGATGCAGCCCAGGACACGGTTGGCTTTCTGGGCTGCAAGCGCACGTTGCCGGCTCATGTTGAGCTTCTTGTCAACCAACACCCTCAAGTCCTTCTCCTCAGGGCTGCTCTCAATCCATTCTCCGCCCAGCCTTTATTTGTATTTGTGCTTGGGATTGCCCCAACCCATGTGCAGGACCTTGCACTTGACCTCGTTGAACTTCATGAGGTTTGCATGGGCAATTAATCCTTTTGATTTTTGGCATATATTGTAACATGATGGATGTGTGGCATGCAACCTTTTTTGCTTGCTGAAATGTTGTGAATAAAAAGAGAAATAAATCTTTTAAGATTTGGCTGGATGGGGTGCTGGGCCATCTTGTCTAGATGGTGCTTTTGTCTAGATCGAGCTTTTGCCAAGAAAGGTTGGACGAGATGATCCTTGATGTCCCTTCCAACCTGATATTCTGTGATTCTATGATCCACATAGGTAGTGTCCATTTTGAGAGTTCATCTGCAGCCTGGTCATGTCTTTGTTCTCTGGGCAATAGTGGGTTTGGGTATTAGGGTGCATGAAACAACTGGACTTTCTGGTTTGGGTTGTTTTTAATTGCAGAGATGCTTAAACTTTTGGCAGGTAAGGGGACAGATGGGAATGGACTAATTCTGAGAATCCCATCAGGCAACAACATATCTTGTAGACAATCTAACATTGTATCCATGACTGCATGCAAATTACTTGACAGATGCGTTATTCGGGAATGGTGCTGCATCCCGATGCTTCTCCCATTGCCAAAAGCTAATATGCTATTTTTAAAAAACAAAATTAGGTCAAAGTTCTACTGTTCTTATGTCTGACAGAGACTTCCCAAGTGTTTTTTTCTCCATTCTACTCCACGCTACTTTTGTTGTCACTTTGGTCTTCATAATATATGAGTCTGATGTGTTGAATTTCTCTGTTCACTGAAATACTGTGTAACAGGAAGCAAGTAAGGAATCGACGAGTAACTTTCTTCATATTAACCTATCCTACCTGTGTTCCAGGCTGATTTTGATGATAAGCCTGACTCCTTGTTCTTCAGCGATGGGCAGAGAAGAATTGACTTTGTTTTGGTGTATGAAGATGAAAGCAAAAAAATGACTCATAAGAGGAGTGATCGTAAAAAGCAAAAGGTAGGTTATTTTCAGTATAAACGTGAATAATTGGTTGGGTGTTAAAAGCAGTGGGCAGAAAGGACAGTGCCCTCCCCCAGAATGGCAACTGCATTGCCCTGTCCTAGGAGTACTCTTGGGAGCTGGGACGCTGAAGCCCATCAAACTGAGCAGGGAATGAGGGTGAGCTCAAGCCAGTAGACTGCTGTGTAAATGGGCAGACCACTGCACGTTGTGTCTGTCATTGTGTGCTAGGTGACTTCAGAGCATCCTCCTGGGAAGGAACCCTTCAGAAGATGTGACCAGAAGAATGCTGGTATCAGGTTCCCAGTTAGAATTAGACACCAAGATCTTCAGATGTGGGCAATTTTCTGTACCTACAGTGGTTGAATTAGGCCCCTAGTGGACTTTTGTATTAAAATCAGGGTATTCAGAGGAACCCATAGAAGGAGGCAGCTGACCAGGTGCTCCAGATCACAGTTATGAACATAGTTGCTGACATTCTGCCCAATAAAGTACCTAGATCATTTATGGGAAATAACTGTACATCACGTTGTCATCAGAATTTCTCACTGCACCACTCCTTCCCTTGACACTTCAACAGATTGGCCCTCCCTAGGGACCTTGCAAAAAATTTCTGACTCAAGCCAGTGACTGCTTGATGCTCCTTAGCAACTATGAACAATAATCATAGATTATTTTTAACTATTATTTTTTAATTAATTCAGTAGTTCTATCAGTGGACTACATTCATTATGGCACCCAGGGCCACAAAAATAAGCTCAGCCATGCCACTGAGCTATTTTAATTGTGAACCGCCTGAGAAATATCCATCCATGGGACTGTAGTCCCCTTGGCATCTGTGCGCTCCCATCTACCCACTTCCTTCTCTGATTTAGCAATTCTCCATGTTCCAGCAGCAGCCTCTGGTACAGACAGGCAAGGACAAAGATATCACTGAAAGCAGCTCATATACAAATAATGATTTGCAGTTAGGAAAGAGAAGTGTAGGAGTAAAAAGGCCTGTAGCTAAGTTGGTTGATATTCATTACACAGTGTTGTCGTTGGCATTCACGGGGCAGCCATAAGGAATGTCGTTAGTAGGGTTTCAGGGAGTGCTGCAGTGGGTGGATGTTGCATTACACATGATCACAGGATCAGCAATAAAAATTAATTGAAAGAGGTAATTAGAAACAAAAAGCTGCCCCTTTGGAAACAATTGTTTTTATCAATTAGCATTTTACATTTATGTTTGTAATATTTGGCCATTGCCCAAATGTACTTAAAAATATAATGAGTCTCTTTTCCAAACAGTGATGGAAATTAAATGTGAGCAATGGAGTAGTATTTTTAGTGCAATATTAATGTTAGGGCATTAGCTAGATGAAACCAGGAGATTATGGGTAATGCACTAGGTGCTTGCAAAAAAAGTTTACTTTCAAAGGTCTCAGTCCTACAAAGATCTGCAACCACACTGAATCTGTGGTGTGCTTAGGAAGAGGAAGCAGTCTACCTGCACGCAACGGATGTGAGAACGAGAGTATATTAGACTAACAATCAGCTAAGGTAGAGACTGAGTGGCCGGGGAGCAGCTCTGTGGAAGAGGCCCTCATGGTCTTGGTGGACAGCAAGCTGAACAAGAGCCAGCTGTGTGGCTGCAGGGACAGAAGTATGGCCAGGAGATTAAGACGTGTGATTGAGGTGACATGGATGTGTCAGAAGGAAGCCGAAAGCAGCAGTGACAGCAGTTTTCAGAGCCAGGATTTCCATAGACAGGGAGAATCTGAAGCCGTAGGGGTACTGTGGAAGGTGTAGGCAAGAATTTTTGATACTGGGAACACATATGGTGCTGAAAGGCCAGTAGAAAGCATAGACAAGGATGAAGAAGTGGCAGTTACAGAGGACTTCTAAGGGCAAGAACAAAAGTTACAAATGTGATGGTACTGAGCTGGAGAGCTAATGAGAAAATCCAAAGCTGACCATGAAACAGACAAAACGTTACACATAGGGTAAAGTACCAGAGGGCACTGAGCAGTGGAGGAAGGAGAAGAGGGAGTGAAGAGAGGATTTTGTTCAGTGAGTCTGAAATGAGTCACCTGGTCATAACCAAACTCCTGTGATACAACTCAGAAGTACTGGCTCCCTCCTAATGCCTCACATACAGGTGTCATCAGTTCAGAAATGCATTTCCTTTATGTGTTGTTGGAGGAACAGGCTTTTAAAATGTGAACAGACGTAAGCTTTCTAACTTTTTAGGATGGGATAGGTGCAGGTCAGCTGCAAGCACACAAACACTTTAGTCACCTCAAAGACAGAGAGGTCCTTCATCTCACTTGAGATCACTTGCTATGCAGGTGGAGGAAGCTGTATACACTGCAAATATTCATTCCCTAAGCAAGTGCTGCACAGGCATTAGCAGCACTGATAACATTATTCTTCCTGTGCCTCCTCCTGAGTGCCGTGCAGGGCACTGCCTTGGGACTTACCTCAGTCTCATACTAGGAGTGAAAGGAGAGAAACTGAGAAATTAAAAAAAAAAAATAAAAAAAAAATTAATAGAATATTTGAAAAGAAGAAGCAAAACACATATACTTTATGTGTGAGATGGAAAGGAAAATTGCATTTATGGTACAGTTTTTCATCCCTGGGATTCCAGGGAGTCAATTAACATTGTCACCTACCACAGTTCCCAGAGAGGTGTGGAAATGACGCTGCCCAAGATAAGATACATAATGTTTCATCAGTGTTGGCATAAAACCTAGTTGAAAGCTGGTCTTTTTTGACACCATTTTTTATTTGGTTATAGTTTTTTTCTGGGGCAAATTACTTCTGCCCTTGTGATGATATATAAGATACCAAAATGAGGAGTATTGCAATTTACCGTCAGCTTTAAATACTGCATACGTCACTGTCTGTCTCTGATCAATGATTAACTGAAGATGCCAAATTTTATAAGCAGTATCTTGTGTAATTCAAGGTGCTTTAAGCCTGAATAGGTTCCTTGCTCATACTACTCTTTCATTGAGTGTCCTGACAGTTTTATAGAGATATTATCCAGAGGTTTATTGTTCACAGAATTTGGAAACTCCAGCTTATTAAAGAGTAGCAGATTCAGTGAAGTCTGTTCTCGTGGAGTGAAATCCTCACCTCACTGAGATCAGCAGGGAGGTCTCCACTGGCCATGTGCAATGTTGCAGGTCTGTGAAATGTAGGGACCAGGAGTGCAGTCACTGGAACAAATTTGAAAATGAGAGCTCAACCTAGGTATCCAATTTACTGGATTCAGAGAAATAGGGCATAGATCCATCTATTCTTCTGCAGCAGGAGAAGAATCGGGTCCGGGGACCATCATTATATTTAATTTGAATGGCTTTCTGCCCTGTTGAAAAAGAATTGCATGAGTGTAACTGAGAAAATGGCCCAGCATTAATTTATATTAATTAGCAGTATTCTTGAGAAAACATCTCAGAGGACATAAGGAAATAACTAAAAACATGAGGGTGATTTGGATAGAAGGAACAAAAATATGGCATTCTGAAGTTCTTGGAGATGCACAGTGGTGCTGTGCTTCCCTCATTTTCATGTGTTTCTGAAATCTGGTTTAAAGGAGGTGGAGTCAAACTAGTGAAATTACATCCTCATGGAAGTTTCTAACAGAATTTACAGATCCAAAAGTTAGCAGATATGTTTCATGTATGTAACTCAATTCAAACTCCAAACCTTTGTAAGTTGGTATACAATTAATTTTGCAAGCACTAGCTAAAATCAAACTGTCAGGAGCAGGTTCCAGAAACTACATCTTGGAAGCAATTGAAATTCCTGCCCAATGCACGTCTTTTAAACCTACAATTTATATATCCTATTTGTCAGGATAGGTTACCATCAGAATAGAAATTAAATATCACCAGCCTTTCCAGGAATGTCAGTTTTATCTGTTGGGGTCCTCAAGAAACTCATTGTTTCAAATTAAATGAAAACTATAATTCACAGAGAATATTACACACGTCTTTTTAAGAATGGTCTTACAGAGAACTTCAGCAGGGCTAGAGAAGTTTGTTTTCATAAGCAAACAACAGTTCCTGCCTCTAGGCTTGTTTAGTTTAGATAAACACACACACACACAAAAAAAAAAGCTTGGATAACTTTTCAAAAGCTACTTGTACTTTGCCCAGTGTTTACCATGTGTCATACCTGCAGTGAGAGAACAATACTTGGGTTTACAGAAAGAAGGGTACCTCGGTGCCACTGTATGCGGTGATTTGAGGCAGCAGAGGACAGCGGGCTTTACATGCCTGTGGTGTGCTCAGCCAACCTACCCAGGAACAAGGATAACAAGGATGAAAGGGACCTTTGACAGTGGGAGGAGGGTGACCACACCTGCCCTGGTCTCTGCTGGAGAGATTGGTTTTGAGACAGGAACTCAGTGAAATAAAATCTCTGTTCCTGAGGCAACCCCAAACTCAAATTTTACTTCTTTGCCTAATCAATGGCAGGAAGGATGGCAGAGGGATGGGAAGACAAATGGAAAGAGGGAGTTACTCTGAAGTTACTGCATACATTCATAGGACCAGGAATGGATCTTTCCAAATAGGGCGACTAGAAGCCAGTGTTGAGAGCAGGGGTAGACTGCAGTATTGCCAGTTCTGTGTGGTCACGAATCAAGTTTCAGAAAATCACGAGGCTAGCTTAAAATCAGAGGGAATCTCAGAAAATACGTATTTGGAGGTCTTTGGGTTTACCCTTTTTTGTGTCAGCCTTTATAGCATATTCTGCTTCACATTTTTATGATTATCTTGAAACATAAAGGAAAGAAGCTTACAGAAGCAGAACTTCTTAATCAATTAATTTCTTGATGTTGACAGCTGGGACTTTCAGAAAAGCTTCCAAATACCATCAAAGAAACTGTAAGAGTTGGCAGCTAATATTGATACAGTGATCCTCTCTACTCCCTTTAGCTGATTTCCATGGGGAAGGCTTTGGTCCCCATGCTCTTTCTCTTACTGACTGATTTATCTGTTGCCTGTCAGGTAAGGCAGAGGTGGCTATTCAAGCACTCCTTCCTTATTGGGATTTTTCCCCTGAAGCCACACGGATATTGTTGCGCAGAACTTTTCTCTTTGCGCAAGAGAAACTAAACAAAGATATGAGTTGGCGTTCTTCTGTTGCTGTAATCAAAGCAAGTGCTCCCTACCATTTACAAAACACAGAGAAAAAAACTGCTAGTGGTCTGCCAATTTCCACACCCTCAATGTTGTTAGTCTCCTCAGCATGGTAAGACAATCACCAAACATTGAAAACATTTTGGTGAAAAAGCAGCTCCCAAGAGCTAACCCTTCTACATGCCTATAATACTTGACAGTTACTTACACTATGCTTTCAGTTTCTTAAGATTGTATATGATTATGCATCACATAGTGTCTTAGTCTATTGGCTAGCTGTTCAATCATCAAAATCTATGTCAGATTTAGATCAGCAGCATTGCCATGATTACATTGTTATTACAACTTAGCCATGCACATAGCAGAGCAAAATGCCAGATACTAAAATAAGCTTTGGACAATCTCTACCTTCCAGTCTAATAAACTATGATATCTTTATGCTGTATTCCCCAGTCAACACAAAACCACTATAGACTCCTCTGGGTAAAAGTCTAGTTCCTCCATAGATCATCATACACATAATTCAATCATTTATATAAAATAGCAAAGCCCCTAATTAGCAAAGCCTCCCAGGGGCTTTGTTTCTCACTACTTGCATTAATGCATTATTAGAAACCTTAATATTGTCAACATTCCTCTAAGATTTTGCAGGCAAAATTAATTTGGGGAACTCCTTGCCATAATAAATTATTAAAGTAATCTGAATGGTAAGATTTTTTAAAAAAAAAATCTATTAGACTTCTACAAATGAGAATTGTCCTGCATCCATCTTTGTGCTATGTAGGAAGAAATGAAACAAGTATTTAGTTTCTGCCTTTTCTATTTGCTGAAACAAATCAGAACTCAGGTTGACATATTTTCACGATTCAGTGTTATTCACCTTACAAAGAACCACATGAATATGGAAGAAACAAATGGATGAAATGGCAGAAGAGTTAATAGTGGAGTCATAAACAACTCCTGTGTTGTGTCCTACATATATTAGTGATCTGGTAAGGGGATTGAGTTATGATATAAAAAAAATTGCAGACGAAATCATGTAGTTTACTCAGAAGCCAAGAGAACTGTGAACCTTTAGCTTTGAAGGAGAATGGAGAGCACTATTATCTATGAAAAGTTGAAAAACGCAAGGAAATATGTTACTGCAAGGAAACAGTGTGTTCACATTTGGGATTCTAAGTACAAGGATGAGACTTAGATGTCACAGGAAACAGCTATATTAAGTGTCCTCTTCAGGGTTCAGCTACCATCGAAATTCTAGATAATAGAAAGTATTAGACATATACAATATATTATTAATGTGCATCTTATATAGATACACAGTGTTGTATACACAATGAAAAAATGTAAAGACCATGTCACCAATAAACAAGCAGATTAATAGAAAGTATTAGACATATACAATATATTATTAATGTGCATCTTATATAGATATACAGTGTTGTATACACAATGAAAAAATTTAAAGAACATGTCACCAATAAACAGGTAGATTAATGGGATGTGGAGAGACACCTCCATGAAGAGTGCTGTCAAAGTTTGGGATTGTGGTTTTATTCTTTGAAAAGAGAGGAATAAGGGGAAATGTGATAAGTATTGACAAAAGAAGAAAACAGATTGAAAGATTTGGCTCTTCTTGTTGCTATCCTGAGAAGGTGATATTCACTGGAATAAAAAGGCAGAAAACCCAAAACAGATAGAAGAAATAATACCTTTTAACAAAATATGAAATTAGTCCATCGTGACCGTTGCCAGATGCAAGTGTTGCAGCTGAGAACTAACAAAGTATAAATGGGGCAGGCTGTTTATATTATTCAGTTTTATAATTATTAATTCCAAGACTTACTAGAGTTTTGGAAAAATAGTTTTTTCTGCTTTGGGGACTTAAAACAGCCTTTAAACATTAAAGAACTGGGTGAAGCTCATGTGGAGATACAACTGACCTGTTCCTGTGGAACTCCTGAAAATTTTTGCCCTTTTTGCTGAAGCATCTGGTTTTTGCCCCCTAGAGTGAGTGGATCTTGGGTCTAGTCCTGAAGACCGGTTTCCATGTACCTATCAAAGTTCCTAAGACTTTACCTAAACGGTCATTCATTGACTCTGGATCTTCACTGTAGCAACAGGCCTGGATCTTAAGACCAGATCTTAATGCAGTTAGTCTGGCTATAGAGAACCAGGTGACAGAAACCATTGGGCCATTCTTCTTTTAAGTTCCTATAGTGGTAGGTGCAGAATCCTTTAAGCACAAGGCATATAAACAACCAAAAAATTGGCCAGAGGCATGAAAGCAATCTGGGAGTAAGAAACTAGTATCACCAGGTCACTCTGAGAACCTCACTGCATGCCTAGCCTAGCCTGGCTCAGGAATAAAGCCATCAGTCCCCAGTGCTTAAGGTCATCTCCTTCTGGCAAACTGCTCACAGAAGCTCCCCCCGCCCAGCCCCAGCTGCCTACAGGTGTCCCCCCCCTTACCCATGCTGATATTTTGACATGCAGTCTGTAGGCCAGGAGAGCTGCCTACCCTTGACTTACATAAACAAATAACTCATTGGGGAACAGTCCAGTTGATGCAGATAGCTTTTAAATTGGATTACTTCACATGAAGTTCCAAAATTTCTTATAAATCTCTTACAGAGTTGTATGTTTTGTATTTTAAGGGGAGAGGGGCTGCTTGTCTCTGTGTGGTTTTTTGGGGGGAGGTTGTGTGTGGAGAAACAAATTCAAGATTTCAAAGACATTTCAGATTTTTTGTAGCTCACTGCCTGCCAAATGCTGGTAACTGTAAGTGAAACTAAAATGATCCATGAATTTAATCTTTACTGAGGAAAACTTGTCATGTCCTTCTGGGGACATTGAATGCTCCTAGAATAGCACCACTGATTCTACAAATGCTACAGCTCTTGGCTTCTTCCTCTGGGAATGCTTACCCATAGACTAAAATGTAGAGCACTACTACAGTTTGAACTATTGTGTGAACTCATATGATTACTGTGAAAGAAGAATAAAGTTACAGGTTGCTGGAAGGAAAGTGGGATGGAAAGCTCTTGAGATGAAGACTTTCTAAAGGGCAGATTAATGGGGGGAGGAAGGCTGCAGTCAGTAGTTCAATTAGTGACTAAATGTGAAGGAGATGACAAGTTGCAGGTGTAGTTGCTCTTAAAAGTCAAAATTTGGGGCACAATTTTACCTCTGTAATATACCAGAAACTAAGAAGGTGAATTCTCCACAATTGCATTTGGGGGGCAATATTGCATATCAGACAAAAAGACTGATCAGGATTAGTAGGAAAGGCTGTACCTATCACCACAGTAGCTGTCAAGTGGGCTACAGAGAGAATGATCCAACGATTCTTCATTTTGGGAGGCAATTCCATTTTTCTATGCATACGTATTTGTGAAATTTGGAACAGATGTTTTACAGTGTTCAATACTTTTTAACAGAGGAAGAGACAAGTATATGAATCAAACCTGATAAACAATGGCTTGCAACTTGAAGCAACAAGATCGGTGAGTGCTCTTCTCTGTGTGAACGGCTGTGTCTGAGAGCAAAGCTGCCCCTATGGGAACAAGGAAACTGGATATATGAATTTACTGTAACATTTCTCTCCTCTTGGGAGAAAAAGGCTCACTTCTTTTGCATCAGTAGTGTCTCTGTGATCTGATGCTAAATATTTTAATCAATGTCCGTTCCTTCCTCTGCAAAATAAAAGATGGGAAGCTAGGAGATTACATTGGTCATGTTTGCTCAGCACTTGGAAGATAAAAATTACTGGCTGTGCTCCGAGGAGAGGTTATCCCCCTACTCTGGCTGTGTAGGACATGTGGAAGCCAGTGGGTGTCTGGGGCAGAACACCCCTGCCAGAAGAGCAGCACAGGGCTCCTGCACGTGACCCTGCTCCTCACAAGGCTTGGCACCATGCAAGTAGTTGTAACTAACATGCTTTGTATATTTTGGGCTGTGATGTTGCCTGCAGGCAGCTCAAGAGCACAGTGATAATGCACACCAGCTGCTGGAGCTGCTGTATCTTGCAGGGAGGGTTGGAGTCCCTCAGAGACCCTTTCCTCCCTGCCCTGTAGGGCTGCAGCCCTCCGTCCGGGTCTCCTTATCCAGGACAATCACTTCCAGTCTAAATTTGTTGTTTGGTAGTCTATAGTGAGCTCCAGAAAAGGTCGCTTTGCCCCTTCCTCCCAAATTAGAATCCATGGCATCATGGTGTTTATTTGATTTCTGCAGTGAGGGCTCCAGCTGCGTGTCCAAGGATGCAGTCTGGCTCTTCACATTCATAAGAAAGTAAATTGCTTGCTAGAAGCCTGACATGGCCCTCTTGCTATACTTCCATGTTGCAGTTTTCAATAGTTCTGCCCCGATCATGACTGAAAGTATTTTGAAACTGGAAGCTTCCCCAGGGTGGATCAGATATCTGACCGATGTTCCTAAGCCAACGAGCTACATAATGTAATTTCACGTGGCTGAGACTAGTGCAGGGCGTCAATAGAAGGTCTACAGGCGATGTGTAGGCAGGAGACAAGAGTGGCTGTCGCAGTTCCCGCTGCATACTGGTGCTGGTTTGGGCATGCAACTGGGAGCAAATGTGCCCCGTGCTGCTTCTCTCATCAGTCTCAGCTGATTTCCCTTTCCCTCTCCCCATTATCCCTATGAAGCTGGGAATTCATGTTGCCCAGGAGCACCCATGGGCGCCCACCCTGAGTCCATCAAGTCACGTCACCCTGGGGTTGTACTTGAGCTGCTGGGGAGTCACTGACAGCTCCAAAGCCAAGCTGCTCTGCCAGGCTACAAGTACAAACACTCCTAATGAACCTGTATGGGGGAAGCCTTTTTCAACTTAAATTGCTTTGTAAAATACTTTGCAGATATGTAAACATTAAACATTAAGGGAACATTTAGCTGGGGTTTTTTTATATACCTTTATATGCCTTTATATGCCCACATGTTTCCACCTCATGTCAGTGCTTTTAGAGAAGCTCATGATATATTTGCTAAGAGGGACAATGAATGCAACTTTGAGTAGGTCATCTATGAGCTGGAAAGAGAAAGAAAATTCTGGGTAGTTTAAGAAGTGTTATGAAAAGTCCTATGCTTTCATTTTCTTACACACATATTTTTAATATTCTTTCATTTCAGGTTTTAGATGAAAAACTTATTTTTGTGAAAGTGCATGCACCTTGGGAAGTGCTGTGCACGTACGCCGAGGTTATGCACATCAAATTGCCTCTGCAGCCCAATGACCTGAAAACCCGAGACTCAGCTTTCAACTGGTTTAGTCGACTCTTCAGAGTGGATGAAAATATCATCAAACCTGAGCAAGAGTTTTTCACTGCCCCTTTTCAAAAGGAACTTTTGTCCAACTTTTATATTCAAGACAAAGACACATTTTTCAATCCTGCAACTAGAAGCCGAATCGTAAGTCCATGGAGTATTTCTAGCATTTAATCTTAAAAAAGAAAATATTCCTTTAATCAAAGCAGTGCAATTACCTTTATGAAAGTATTCTGAAAAATTAGAAATATTTGGGATGCAATAGTCCTGTGTCATTTATGAAACAGCCTGGACAATCCAGAAGGAAAACATTCCTTACATTTGTCCCATATCTGTTTCACCTGAATTTAAAGAAAGGATTGGAATGGTTCATATACCCTGTGCAATTAATTTTGTCTGCACTGCTTAACCTTTCCTAACTCGATTATATGCTGAGACAGGTGTAGCTGTGTACAATTACTTTCAGGTTGCAAGAGACAGACACAACAATATTTTATAAATTCCAGGTTCATTTTATCCTGTCCCGTGTGGAATATGCAACCAAAAACAATGTGAAAAAGTTTGGCATTAACAAATTACTGGACACTGGAATCTACAAAGCAGCATTTCCCCTTCATGACGTAAGTCCAGTGCTTGTAACGAAAATATATTTTGAAATAGAGGTCTGAACTATATCTGTGTGTTTTATATCAAAAGATAAAAGCACTATTGATTGCCTTACTCATTGACTGGTTATTATATCCACATAGTAGAACTGGACATAGTTTGGCTAAAGAGATTTTCATCCAAAGCACTGTTGGTTAAAAATGTAGCTCCATAACTGAAAAACAATATATTTCATTTTGGAGGTGTTAAACTTGCATTCTCTGGGAGATGTACTTCAGTAAATTGCCTGCCTGAATGATAGTTCCCATGACACACTGTATCATCAGTTCTAAATCAATTTTAACATTGTCCCCTTTTTTAGTATTCATTTTTTTCAGTATTAAAATTCCTATCAAATATCAGCATTGTTAATAAAGATGTAGACTACAAATCTCAGCTTAGGATGCATGACAGTCTCAGACAGTGAGAAACATTCCCACGGTTCCCAAACATTGCCACACATGTGCAGGGAAATTCAGGTTTCTACAGGAAGAAGGTGTTGGCCAGCCAGGCCAACACCTCACAGACGATGTCAGAGTCGCACAGAGAGAAGCTTAACTGGGTTGAATTTCACCTTGCACTAATAAGAAATCCAGCTTTTGTAGCTACACCGCTGAAGCTTTTTAAATTCTATCATTTAAAGAAGAAAGTTACACTGCAAATTGTTTTGCATACAAAGGCTAGCAATAACACAGAAGAAGAAAACGAAGGGGAAAATGAATCAGATTTCAGAGTATTTGGCCAAGGAAAAACTCCATGTAAGGCTGCAAATGGGATACAGTAAGCAAAGACTGAGGGCTGATTTTCTGCATTATATCTATTATATACCCACACCCCCACACCTCCTCCCCGTCAGAGCCACCATTCTGTGCCCATGGTGTGTTTTGTTGAGAAGACACTGAGAACATGGGAGATCAGGAATGGTAACTGCTTCAGCTGTTTGGACTTGGCTTAAAATATTCAGGAGGCCTCCAAGGATTTCAAGGAAATCTTTAAGGCAGAATCAAGACAAATCATGTTTCTTGTAAGTAACCCTAAGCTTTACAAGGTAGAATTAATATCATTCATGAGTATTCATTTTTTAAGGTTTCCTTTTAAAGATTTAAAACCTGTCTTGCAGGCTATTTCTATCATGGGGAAATTTGGACTCAGTATGACTAGTAATTAATGACTGTCTTTTTGTACAATTAAAATTATGTATCACAGCTACTCTGAAAATCAAAAGTAGCCTAGATTTCTGCAAATTTCGCTTGTCTTGTTGCATCACAGATATAGAATAGAAAAATCCCTCAAATAAAATAGGCTTTATTGAAATAGGTTTTTAAATAACCTAGTGAAAACCACAAGGATTATCTCCATGTGAACTCTCTTTTAAATTTAAAACAGAGACTAGAAGACCTGGATTTATCCCTCAGTCTTTCCAGCCTTCATTCCAGTACAATACTATTTTGAAGCAAAGCATGTTAGCATGGTAAAGCTACTTAAAATCCATTTTAATTCAGTCCTGTTCTCTAATTAGAATGGATCCTTTTCTATTTTCTATTCCTAAGTGCCAAGACGCTGACATGTGCTTAGATTTCAGTTCATGATGAGTCTCTGTTATTTGCAGCTCACATATGTAAAACGTTTGTTTTAGCATTCGGTGCCTTTCTGACAACCTTCTATCCTGGATCCTGGTGCACTCCCAGAGCTGCCTTCCTGCTCCTCTTCCTGGCTTCAGTGAGACTGGGCTGAAAGGCTATTCCAGGCTCTGGCTTCATGGCACGGGGTCTGTGGAGAGGAGAGGCTGATCTGTGCTGGTTAGATTAATGGTATCTTCTTCTCAAGATTAATGCTATCTTCTTCTCATGCTCTTTCTGTTTTGCAGTCTAGTTTTAGGCACCCGTCAAACGATCCCAACTGCCCAAGTGAACGATATCTTCTCTACAGAGAATGGGCTCATCCTAAAAACATTTTTAAACTGCAGCCCCTGGATTTCATCAGGTTGGTGTGACTGGGGCTGGACTAATGCAGAGGGAAAAAGGAATTTCAGACATAACAGGTCTGGTTTTGGGGATGTCAAAGAAACACAGCTCAGTTCTGAGGGCAGATACATACACCCGTATCAGCTCATGCATGGCATGACGCATTGAGCTTGGTTTCATGATAAGCTAATTCATGAAAAGGCAACGACTTTAAATTTTTCTGAGAGATATGGTCTTTCTCTCTTTTTCCTTTTTTCCCCCCTTCCTATCCTCTTATAAAAGCATAAAAGTGGTGATAGAAATACCAAGCTGCAATACTTCTGCAATCCCAAAGTTTAAATCAGAGGAATATGACAATACAAGTTGGCACAAAATGTATGAAATTAAGAGCCATTTGAAACAGAAATGTGAATTTACTTGAATTTCAGAAAAAAAAAAAAAAACCAAAAACCAACAAAACAAAAACCTTTCCCCTCCACAGGAAATACTATGGAGAGAAAATTGGAATCTACTTTGCTTGGCTGGGCTTTTACACTAATATGCTGATTGTGGCTGCTGTTGTAGGAGTTGGCTGTTTTCTGTATGGATGCCTGACAAGGGACAACTGCACATGGAGGTACCTGATCAAGCCTGTTTTAATATCATGTGCAGTTTTGATCAATCCCCTACAGAGAGGGACTGTACAGGGTTTGCAAGACACCGCATAATATGATAATAATGAACGGGCCTGAGAACTACGGTTGTAGATTTGAAGGTGAAGGCATAAAATATGAGATAAGAAGAATAATGAAAGTCCATGGACTACAGTGATAGACATCTGAGAGTCTGTTATTTCATCATTTTATTTATATTTTGCACTAGGTTCACCACATCTAGTATAGAAACACGAAGAAAAGAGTGACAATCGGAAGTCAATGCAAATTGCCATAACACATAATTTTCACTGTGGTACTCCTTAAAGGAGATATCCAAAGACCTTGATAAAACCCCCCACACGTATTTCCTCTGTTTTGAGAGAAGAACAGAGGAAAAGCAACAGCACAGGGGGCTTCAGCTGCCTGGGATACTTTGGGAGGAGAGGCATTACTAGGACACAGATTACCTCATCAGAACAAGACAAAATTCAACTGTGGCACAACAATCTGGGAAAAACACCTGGGTCACTGTGCCAAGTCGTCTACAGGCCATCACACTATATACCCCCTTCTGGAAGGGTGTTTGTCTTTATAAAAGATGCTGAAGGGCTGTTCCAGAGCTCCACTCCTCTAGCCAATTTATACCCATTTAACCTTATGCCAGTATTATCATTTAGTTAAATAGTTCATCTTCCTCCCTGGTGTTTACCGCACTGATGTATTTATAGAAAGCAATTGCATCACCTTTCAGCCTCAAACATACATACTAGGTTAGTACGTACTAGTTAGATGGCAACTTTTTTGCCATCTCTTAGGAGACAGATCTGCCGTTCCTTGAATCACCCTAGCAGCCTCCCTCTGCATGTTTTCCAGCCTGATCCTCTTTAGAAGACCACAGGGAGTAGGTAGCCATTTCGGTTCTGCAGTTATTCCTTGCTCTGGTAGCCAGTGTTCCGCTTCCTTCTCCCCTCGGACTCGCTATGATAACGCGTGCAAGCATGCAAGTGTGGGTTTCCTATTGAAGAGTGTGAGATCTTTGAAGAGTTGTTTTATTATTAATGTGAGCAGTTTTGAGAATTACCACCACGTACAAGGGATGGAAATTGTTTTCCTCCTATGTCATTCTGAGATGAGGACTAAGAATGGAAGTGGGGGATGTGTTGCTGGGGTATGGGGGGGAAATCTTGAAAGCAGGTCACTGGTAAATTATTTCTCTATTCCCTGAGATTATTGCATTATACTCATGTGTGAAAAAGGACTAAAGAATTTAGTGTTGGTGTGTGACTGACTAGTTTTGTTTTTAGCCAAGAAGTATGTGACCCCAACATAGGAGGTAATATCATAATGTGCCCTCAGTGTGATAAAGTATGTACCTACTGGAACCTCACCATCACTTGTGAATCGTCCAAGGTAACTACATTCACAGCTTATAGACTCACCATTGAACTGTAGTTGCACTTTCTCTAGTACTACATGTAAAATGATGTTGTTCCTCCACTAATGTCCTGCAGAATTGCTAGAACTCTACAAATAGTTATTCCTTTTGATACAGCGACTGAACTTCGAAAAGTAAAACCAACAACATTAATTGCTTCAATTTGATCTAAGATGAAAAAAATGGTGGGTGGGTTTTTTTTTATTTCACATAGCTGCCAAATATTTGGCACAGGACTAAGGTTTTTTTAATTGAAAATAAACACTTTGGTTTCACTTGGGGGTAATTCTTCCTTTTTGGGGGAAAAAAAAAAAAAGATTCGGTTACTAAAGTCTTGATTCAGTAGCTCTGAATCAGTTTTGCAAAGGAAATGGTTAAAGCAGGTTTTGACATTTCTAAACTCTGCCTCTCCTCCCCAAAGAAATTATCTGGATCCGTGCTTTGAATTTGACTCGTGTTGTCATGGAGGAGATGGGTACAAGGGGAGGCTGATGTTGGCCATGACAGAAGCTGTGACACAGCCATGCCCTGTTAGCTGTGACACAGCCAGGCTCTTGCTCTCAGTTCCTGTCTCCAGGAACCTCGCTTTCTTTCTCCATTACCTTGTCTCACTAGGCTAGTGTTAGCCTTTTGTCTTGCCTTTCCATAGATTCAGTCGCTGCCAAACCAGCAAATTTTCAGCTATTCATGAAAAATATTTTGCCCAGCTTTAACGTGTTGCTTCAGCACACTTAAAGGGTAAAAGAAATAAGAATACAGGGAAAAGGCTATGCTCAAAAGAAAAGGCAAATTGTGACCACAGAGGTATCTCATCAGAATGCGTGTTTACTAACTAGCTTGATTTGTTGTCATCCTGCTCATGAGAACCAGATGTGTCCGTTGCCTTTTGTGGGTGTATTAAAAATACTTAACTCTATACCGAGTTTCCAGACCAGAAGCACTGTTTTTCCTCTTCCTATGCAAGAGATGGAAGGAACTTTGATAGCACACCAGTTTACTATCCTCTTGCTGCATATTTTGCTGGCTTATATTTTTAATTCTGGGCTTTGTATTTAATTTCCTTAATTTACTGGAGGGTGATGTACATTGACAGAAATTGAGGAAACACTATCAATAAAGATTGTTTATTAAACTACATAAAAGCTAAAAGTCAACATGTTCAGCAAGCAGCTTCTGTTCTGGATCTGGGCAGAAGAAAAAAAAGGTTGATTTTAAGCCTTTTTTTTTCTCTTCCATTTTTCTAGAAACTCTGTATATTTGATAGCTTTGGAACACTGGTGTTTGCAGTATTTATGGGAATATGGGGTAAGTCGATTCCAACAACTGGTTTGTCATCTAATTTTGGCCAAGCCTCTAGCTTCAGCCAAGAAAACATGGATAAATTAGCAACGACTTCATTTTCTAGCACTCAGGAATTCATTAGTAGGTAGTTCTGTAGGAGATACGTACATTCTCGGGAACTCTTTTTTAGCATCATAAGAAAACAAAAAATTGTGGGGCTTAAAGTTGGTCTTCGGTGTCTGTTTTGTTTCATTTGACTTGGAGAAAAGTCTGAGGGAAGTGATTAGAGCTGCCTCATGTTCACCCAACAGGAGCCAGTCACATGCTTAAGTGTATCTGGCAGAGGAGCTGTTTTTTTTTCCAAAGAGCTTCGGAGTTGCCTGTGCCTATTAACAGCTGTGTGACTGCACAAGGCAATTGAAAAATAGTCATTTATTCTATTTCCCAGGATTTTTTTCCTCCTGACTTTGTTCAAGAAACTGATTGTAAAAAGTGTAGTAGTTACAAGCCCTAGGTTTATCTTTTAGCAGAGAAAATGTATCTGAAACCAGGATGTTTCCCATGGGTGAAACCACTCGGTGCTGTATTCAAGGGATTAGGCAAGGTTTATTTTCCCAGAAATGTTTTCATTTGTTCACATTAGCAACTTTGTTAACCAGCTTTTATTGCACTGTCTCATCCAGAAATTACCAGAATAAATTCAATGTTAGGTCTGTATACAGGATACTAGAGAGAAAATAACACATGTAACACATTGAATTCATATGTAGGCTGACAAAAATGCATAATTTGCTTTCTTTGTAAAACACATCATGTTTTTATTTTCCTGTGATGACCTAAAGTGCTTCAAAATAGCTACTGCTTTAAAGAAATGTAAGATGAAACATAACATTTCAAAAAGATTTCTTTCAAAATATACACTAAAATCAAAATACCAGCAGGAAATTCTCTAAATAAGAGAAAATTTGAAGTTTGATACTAATGTAATCTTCTCCTGTCATTTGAATAGTTAATTTATTTGCAATTTGTTTTTTAATTAAAAATGTGCTTCCTGTTTTGAAGAATGGTTCCAAGAGTAATAATTACAAAATTAGGCTGCATGGTTATAGTGATGGCTGCAAAGTCTATTAGTATTCTTGTCGTAAGTCCACTATATAAAGAGGTGGATTGTATTACAGAAATTCAGTCAAACTTGTACTGAATCCAAATGACCCATGGTCCTCGTGCAATTCCAGCTGTAATTTCCATCTTGCTCTAATACTTTTGTAGACCTCCTGGTCCAAAATAATTAAAATAATGTTAGATTTTTAGATATATTGTTGCATTGTTATCATCAATAGACTTTTAATAATTGCTTTTTTTTTTAGTGTATTCCCTTCAAAGATCTTAAAGCACTATAAAACACCAGGGAATTTGGCCTCAGGAATTAGCCCTCTATATATTAATGCTCTGGACCAACACTTCTGCCACTTGTCCCATGACAGTATGACTAGATTGGCAAAGGTCATGAACGAGAGGCAGCTTCCACTTCACCTGCTGCCATCACTGGATCCCCTCCCTGAACAAGATCAGTTAAACAAACAAATATTCTCCAATGGAGGCATCTTGTTTGAGTTCTTGGTGACACAGCTTCAGAGGCAGAATACCTGGTCCATACCGACTGGCAGTGTCAAGGGACATGCGAAAGGGAACGCCACAAATTACCAATGTGAGGTGGAATTAGCACTTGGATCTCCTGACTCGGGAACGTAATCTGTTTCCACTGTTAAAAAAAATGCTGGTTCAAAATAAAAGGAAAATGTCGATTCCAGCAGCAGCTCCTTCCCTACTCTGACAGACGCAACTTGGCTGCTGGCTCATTTTAGGCAGTAGAACTTTTCTTTGTATTGGGGCTAAGACAGCTGTCCCCATGTTATGTGCTCTTCTTTCGCTGTTAGCAAGGAGGTCCTGTGCTTCTGGACTCCCCAGCAGCAGCTGGATTTGCAGCTGGAGCAAATCAGTGTAGCCTGTATCTGCCTGTGATTTGGGCTGGGCAGCAGTTAGAGGTTTATGGAAGACTAATCTTGCTCTGCAGGAGAAGGCAGATATGATCCTCTGGCCCACTGCTTGGAATGGCCTTTGTGCTTCTAAGCATGAACCAGTGGAGAAATCCTTGTGAAAGAGGCCCCTGAACAATCAGGGGAGGAGGGTTTCCTGGGTTTTTGCCTGCATGCAGATGCCAAGGTCATCTCAGAGCCCAGCCCATGGAGTTTTCTGGGTTTAAAACGCTTCAGGTTGGGGTTTATTGACCACACGTGATTTTGGAGATAACCTTTAATGTTTGGACTTGTAACTGCATGCCATTGACGTTTCATCATTGAGGATGAGGGGCCAATCTTAAGTAAAAAAACAACACTTTTAGGGTTAATTACTCCCAGACAATTGGAGCAATGCGTGCAGTGACTCACTCCTCCTGGAGGCAGTGCTGCAGAGCCACAACGCTTGTTTAATCTGAGGATGTACTGTCTTCAGTAATAAAGCATCCAGGTGTACTGGGGACCGTGGTACTGGCACCCATCGTCCTGAGCTCCTCCTGGCCTTCTCAGGTGGGTCTGTCATTGCCTCTGCTGCCTGATCTACCTGCATCATGTCTCAGGCCAAGGAAACGAGTTTTGCTGGATTCATGTCTAGCCAGTACCACTTAGGCATCTGTGTACCTGGCCACCCGGTGCTTCCAGTCGTAGGGGCACAGTCCAAGAAAACCGATGACCCAGCCCAGAGAGTTTCTAAGCTCCATGCCATGCAAAAAGAGCTGCAGCCCCTTCAGATTTGTGCTAGCAGAAGAGGAAAGATAGCTGTGTTTTAGCCACTTTACCTGAACCGTCATTGGTTCTCGTAGTTTGCAAACTGATCATTTGTCCACACAAAAACTGCAGGCTGAATGAACGTGAGCTTTTCCTTGTGGCAATTTTTGGCATATTCAGTTCTTCTTTTCTACAAGTCCTGCACTCTCCAGCATTTCGTCTTCACCTATTCAACCAACTTGCTTTCTTACACATTCCATGATAAATGTTTTCAAAAGCAAACTATCATATGAAATCCAAAGTGCTCATATTCTAGCCTTAGGCAGAAAGCAAATAAATTTCTCTTTATTCTTTAGCATGTGCTTACAACATCATTTACCCCAGGTTTCTCTTATTGAAGTACCTACATATCCAAAGCAATAATTGCATAAAGAAGTAGATCCAGCTATTTTCACGATCACATTAGCCAGTAAGGGTTTTGTTCCGTGTCTGTGGAAATCTCACACATTATAGCTCAGGGGTCAAACAGCGTCCAACACTCACATGGCATTGCTCACAAAGTTTTTCCTCTGAATAGTTACTTTGTTTTTGGAGTTTTGGAAGCGCCGGCAGGCTGAACTGGAGTATGAATGGGACACAGTTGAGTACTTAGAGCAAGAAGAACAAGTTCGGCCGGAATACGAAGCTCGGTGCACTCATGTAGTAATGAATGAAATCACACAGGTAAGGAATATTTTGGTAACTGGTGATGGCTACAGCAATAGACATGCTTGGACACTATGCAAATGGTGAATCTAGACTGGAGCTGTATAAATCAGCAGTGCTCCAAGGAGAGTTGATAAGTTGGCCTGGAAATAGTAAACTTACAAAGTACAGATGCGTTGGAGGGAATTTATACCTAACTGTAAGCACCTTAAAGTAGTGCCTGTTTGAGGAGCTTGGACTGCTGAGGTTCCTGTGTCACAAACAAACAGAAGTAGGCATCATCCCCAGCTTAGGAGACTAAGTCTACTTTATTAAATCCTCCAAGAAATGATTCAGTGTTGCTGCCAGAGGCCAAGATCACAGCGCATTTGCTATCTTTGCCTAAGAATGCATTAGGAAAAAAGGGTGAAATAGAGGGAAAGATGTTACATTATATATCATGCCAAGACTGTTTTTTTAACCAAAGATGTTTCTGTTTGAAACATGTATAAATAGGTATTGTTGCTAAGTGCATGTGGATGCAATTACGATTAATAACAGCAAACGCACAAGGGCAAGGATAATCCTCATTTCAATGAAGCAGGATTCATATTTATGAGGATCTCAGTTTAGATCTCTATTTATTATACATTTTGAGTAGCTTTAGCTTCTGTAGCTCACTCCAGCTCAGCTTCATTTTTTATTATTCTCTGTCAATATATTACTCTGGCATTTATCTGATCATTTGCATTGCTTTCACATTCCATCTGCATTATACTAATGTTTATTAGAGGGCACTTGGAAAGTTTCAAAATTAACTGCCATGGTTGAAACTATCCTATATAGATCTTATTTTATATCTTGTATAACAAAAAACCTGGTTCTGTTTAAAAGCTTATAAACCTATGCCACCTTTAATGTATAAAGTCACAGCTAGAAAGTTCCTTTCAGACAGTTCAAAGAGTGAAGAATGTGATAAAACATAATGAGGTAGGCATTTTCCCTGGGAAAGCCATCCCATTGTAACTTGAGAAATATGGAGATCAGGGACCAAAATTTTAGTGCCTGCTAATTTTAGCCAATGAGGTTTGAAAGATAATGACCTTGGACTCCATGATCAGCCAAGAAGGATGAGTCCATTGAAAAGGACTCTGCACTCTGTCATAGCTGAAGTCAGTAAAAGCTGAGGACATTCAGCCTCTATGGAAGTAATTTTTATCTTAGAATGGGCAGGGAAAAAAAAAAAAAAAAGAAAAATGTAATCAGGCAAGACTTTTGAAATCATGAATAAATGTGGGTTTCCAGTATAACAAAGCAAGAACGGAAACAAAACGGGGGGCTTCTTTTCTTTTTTTCTGCCCTCAATATCATAAAGGGTTAATTGGAGCACACAAAAAATATAAAGAAAAGATAGGGTGCATTTTTGATCTGTTTCTAAATCTTTTACAGCAAGAAGAACATGTGCCATACACTGCCTGTGGGAAGTGCATACGGATGACTTTCTGTACAAGTGCGGTCTTCTTCTGGGTAAATTCTCCTCTTATTCTTTATGAATTCACTTATCTAGTAAGTGTTGAAAACAAGATCCACCTGAACTGAACAAAAGGTAACAATGGAACAGGTTCAGCTGGATTTCCATCTGATGCATAAACCAAGCCGATAAGGTATGGACCCACATGAGGAAGGCAGCTCTAGTCCCGAATACTCATAAGTGTACAGTCAGTAGAAAACATGTATCAAAATATCCTGCAGCTATAGCTTGTGAGTTATGCTTGCGAATGTGGTCCATTGGGGTTTTCCTCATTATTTTAAGACAAATGTCTTTGCTTTTGGTGAGATGGAGTAGGGGAAAGACTGGTTAATATGCTCTCCTCCCTGCCAGTTCCTGTCCAACTTGTTCCAGCCATTTGCTTCAATATCATGTCTCACAGTCCTGAGCCTCTTTCAGGGTTTTTGTTTCACTTAACAGAGCAAAGCTGGGTGCTCTCTAATCTTCCAGAGCTGCTGCCTTAATTACAACTAAAACTGGAAAGCAGTCCAACCACCAGTGAAACAATATATAACATGGTGAGCATGCCCACAAAGGTCGCCTTGAAAAGCTCAGTGTTTTAGCATGCTGCGTGTCCTGCTCGGCTGTGGCACAAACAGCAGCTGGAAAAGACTTCATCCTAGGTGATAGGAGACAGACGGGAGATAAGAGTCGTGCCTGGCAGCCCAGGAGACCCTCAGAGTTAACGTCTGAAACGCAAAGGAAAGGATACCAGGTTGCTGTTAGGCAGGACTTCAGGTTAAAAGGTCTGGATTTGTCATTTGTGTTACTGCACTCATTTCTTATATGCAGGGTGGGGGGCAGTTAGCAGGTTCATGGCAGTTTGCAGAGGCAGTGAAAAAAAGATTCGCAGCTCTCAGGACCTAAATCTGAATAATAGCTAGAGAACTAGCAAGAAATAAAAGCAAGAACAGAACAAAAAGAGAGGAGATGGCAAGCAAGATGGGATGCATGGATCATTACTACAACTCCTGCAGATTACGGGAGTAATACAATATTTGTCTCTTCCTTTGAGAGGTCTGTAGTCTGTAATACTATCATGTAAAAGAGATGGTACGGCCCCCTCCACAATCACTGCAGACTTGCTCGTACATTTGCCATCCTGCCAACGGCCCAATGTCAAAAGAGGGAGATTTCTCCCATCGCATGCCTCAAGCTGTAAGATTTGATTATGCATCTCATTATCTTCACTCACATCAGTACAAACCTTGTTATTAGTCATAAATCAGACTACCTCTTCTCTTTCCTGCATGAAGAAAAGGCTTCTTTTACGGATTCTAAATTTATTGCTTTCTATCTTATTTGAGCATCCTCTTGCACTCATCTTACTCGATGGAATGACAAGCACACAATCGGTTTCCTTTTGCCTATTGTAAAAAGTATTTCAAACTCACCTTTTCCCCAAAGCCAATGGTTCAATATTAACATCTTTCTTGCGTTTCCTTGGCAGATTCTTTTGATTATTGCTTCAGTTATCGGAATCATTGTCTACAGGCTCTCGGTTTTCCTGGTGTTTTCTGCAACGTTGCCACAGCACATTAGTGGAACGGAGGCGATCCGCAAGTACCTGACTCCGCAGACGGCCACTTCAGTAACTGCTTCGCTCATCAGCTTTATCATCATTATGGTGCTCAATGTCATCTACGAAAAAGTGGCAATCCTGATTACTGACTTTGGTATGCCACTGCTGTACCTCAGATAGAAACTTGGGGTAAAATAACAAGAAAAAAATAGCATTTATATGTATAATAAGAATTCAAATAAATGAACACCTGTACCACATATTTCAGAGTTTTCCCACCAAATCACACGATACCACCTAGAAATTTTCAAATACTGATTTTCTCAATATCAAAAGAAAGAATATGATATTCAGCTCTTTGCCTGAAACCCCCTTGTATAGCCAGCGTGAAAGATCAATTGTTTACAGTTTTGTGTTTGTGAAACAGACAAAGCAAAGAAAATTACTATAATAACCAAGCTTCATGAAAACAGATCAGTAACGCATAACACATTCAATTACATTAGCTTTTGTTTATGGGGAAAATAGCTATTTTCTTGTAAATAAATGAAATAAGGTCACTGTTCCAAAGCTAGATACCATTCCCATGTTATTAAATAGATAAACAGTCACAAATATTATTATTCTTTATATCCAGGCCATCAACATTAAAGTAGCTATTTTAGTTTAGATGTGTGAAGTAGTGCGGTGTTTTAATATAGTTTCATTTAATACTGTTTCATCAGTTCAAAGTGTTGCATTTGCATCTTTCCTGAGTGTGCTGGATTTGAGTACTTTTTTTTCCTTGAGTTATCAGAATTTTTGCTTGTTCTTTTTCTTTATTGTCAGGGAACAAGTTTTTTCCTTTTTACAACCCATATAGTTTTAGAATTAGTATAATAGTTACACTATACATGGGCATTATGTACAATCTAGTTTATAATGCTCTCAGTCATATTAAGGAATACAAGGCATACACATACTATTCCAGCTGAGCCTCTAAAGCAGCTTGTAGGTTACTTGTAGGTTGGCTTGGTTTTTTAATTATTTTTTTTTAATTGCAGAGCTTCCAAGGACACAGACCGATTATGAAAACAGTCTGACCACAAAGATGTTCTTGTTCCAGTTCGTCAACTACTATTCTTCATGCTTCTACATAGCCTTCTTTAAGGGTAAATTTGTAGGTCACCCTGGAAATCCAGTTTATTGGCTAGGAAAGTATCGCAATGAAGAGGTAAGAATGTATGATAGTGTTTGTTTTTAAACAGCAGGAGCCATTAGACCAGTTATTCTGCTGCAGTTAAGAGTGTATATCATAGCTGTACATATTTAACATGAGAGTTCAAAAAGTGACTGCCTCCCAAACCCTCCTTAGTAACCCCTAGCATAAAAGAATGACACAAGACCAGCTGGGCTTAGAAATGTATGACATATACCTAGACAAGCTTATTTTCCCATGGTCCGCCAATCTGAATTGGCACAAAGGAAGAGGATAATATTCATAGAAGCATTGCTGTTCTGCTGGGTGACCCTCACCTGGTGACAGCACAGTGCAGAGCTGCATGACTTCACTTGGTATTTCACTCGTTACTGTCCTGTCAACCTATCACATATGACCATATGCAGCCCGGAACTGGCTTCTGCATACCTTACTGGAAAGGTTTGCCTAAATAGTCTTCTTGTGTTGCTTTAGGAAATGTTATCATAATAAGCCAGGAATGCATTATTTTAAATGCTTCATTCATACCTGAAAAGTTATCCAACTTCAAACATTTTTCATGTCTCTCTCAATCTTCAGTGTGATCCAGGTGGATGCCTCCTCGAACTCACAACTCAGCTTGCCATCATAGTAGGAGGTAAAGCAATCTGGAACAACATTCAAGAAGTGTTTCTTCCGTAAGTTCAAACTACTAAGTAATCTGCTCTTTCCCATTTGAAAGATGCTGCTTTTGCTTGATGTGTTCAGGCATTTGGTCACTACATTTGATAGGTGCGTATTCTATTCCAAAAGAATAAGACTAGTCTTTTGGGGCCTTTTTAGACAGTTTGGATATTTTCGGTCTGGTAGCTCTGAGCTCCTGTCTCTGTCGTTCTGACTGATTTTAGTTCTAATCAGAAATGCTTCCTTCCTCTGCAAATCAGACTCAGTGTGTTTCAGGTTGGACATTTAAAACAGAGGCAATAGAAGCTCTGAAAATATTAGACTGAAGACTGTTGCTTAATATTGAGTAGAATGATTTGTTGTTATACATTGGGCTTTTAAAAGTCATACATAAGTTACTAATTTAACTCACTTATCTTTACTGTCATATATGACATTCATAGTGCCTATACATTCTCTTTCAGTGGAGCAGATCTCTGGAAGGTCATGTTTTAATGTAAACTATAAGCTCAGTGCTAACCACGAATGCCCTCCATTTAATTTGGATTAAGATACTATCCAGGGGTCTGTTCCTTCTCCCGGGACTTGTTCTTTATTTTATGCTGCTCGGTGGTTGTTATATTGCTTGGAGTAGGGAACTCCCAGTTTGCTCATGCCCTCCTGAATGCCATGAGCACCAGCCCACAGCGTTGTACTCCCTCTGACTGTGGCTCTGTCAAGCGCATGAATTGTGCTCCTTTGCTGCACAGTGACCCCACTTCAAAGCGTGTTGTAAATACTGTATAGGGTTGAGGCTAGGGTGCTCTGCTGAGATATGGTTGCTCCAGACCCCAATGCTACGTATATGCTGCTGGTTGCAGGATTGACCTGTAGACCCATCCTTCTTTTCAACATCTTCTTCTACCTGGGGAAGAGTCCCTAGACTGAGCATGCCTGCAGATGTCAGTTCCAGCCATAGACAACTGACTCCTCCTTCTGTGTACAGGAAATAGTCATCTGACCAGAATTTTGAATTCACTTCCCAGGGTGACAAGTAACATTTAGGTGTTGAAGCACTGAGTATCACTGCTGGATCTGGTTCTTAACTGCCCTCTCATTCTGCATCTCTGCAAGTACAAAGAGAACCATTTTCTGTTTTTCTTTGTTGATAAGACATTCGCCTCCACTCTTTTTTTTTTTTTAATATGGTTCTTTGAATACTGCAAATGGCTACAGCCAATTCATCAGTTTTCTTAAATTCTCATGCCAGCCTTTCAGCTGAGAAGATCAGCCTCACCTCTATCCCTAGGAAGGTGAAGAAGCAGCTAATCCTGGAAACCATTTCCAGGCACACGAAGAAAGTCATCAGGAGTACTCAGCATTAATTCACTGTGGTTGACCAACTTTCTATGATGAAATGACTGGCTCAGTAGATGAGGGGAGAGCAATGGATATTGTCTACCTGGACTTCAGTAAGGCTGTTGACACTGTATTCGATAAAAGCCTCATAAAGAAGCTGTTGAAGTGTGGGCTGAATGAACAGTGAGGTGGACTGTAAACTTGCTGAATGGCCAGGCCCAGGGGGTGGTGATCAGAGGCATGAAGCCTCGTTGGAGGCTAGTCAGTAGTGGTGTATCCCAGGAGTCAGTACTGGGCCCCATCCTGTTTAATATCTTCATTAATGATCTGGATGATGGGGACAGAGTATACACTCATCAAATTTGCTGATGACACCAAACTAATAAGTCAGAGGGTTGTACTACCACCCAGAGGAACCTTGACAGGCTGGAGAAATGGGCTGATATAAGAACCTCGTGGAATATAACCATGGGAAGTGCAAAGTCCTGCACCTGGGGAAGAACAACCCCAGTACATGCTGGGGGCCACCCAGCTAGAAAGCAGCTTGGCAGAAAAGGGACTGGGGATCCTGTTGGACACCAAGTTCAACATGAGCCAGCAATGCGCCCTTGCAGCAAAGAAGGCTGATGGTATCCTGGGCTGCATTAGGAGGAGTGTTGGCAGCAGGTCAAGGGATGAGATCCTTCCCTCTCCTCAGCACTGGGGAGTCCACACCTGGAGTGCTGTATCCAGTTGTGGGCCCCTCAGTACAAGAGAGATGTGGACATACTGGAGAGAGTCCACCAAAGAGCCACAAGGATGATGAAGGGACTGGAGCACCTCACATATGAGGAGAGGCTGAGAGAGCTGTGACTGTTCAGCCTGGAGCAAAGGCGGCTCAGGGGGATCTCATCAGTGTGTACAAATATGTGAAAGGAGGCAATAAAGAAGAGGGAGCCAGACTAATCTCAGTGACTAATGACCAGTGACAGGACGAAAGGCAACGGGCACAAACTGAACCATGGCAGGTTCCCTCTGAACATCAGAAAACACCTTTCTACTATGAGGGTCACAAACAGTGGCACAAGTTGCCCAGAGAGACTGTGGAGTCTCCATCCTTGGAGATATTCAAAAGCAACCAGTTGTAGGTGGCCCTGCTCGAGCAGAAGGGTCAGACTAGATGATCTCCAGAGGTCCCTTCCAACCTCAACCATTCTGTGATCCTTTGAATTCTTAGCAGGTGGCTGCTGGGACCACAGTATGTGCCCTGAGTGGCCATCTTGATGAAGGGACTGGAGCACCTCACATATGAGGAGAGGCTGAGAGAGCTGTGACTGTTCAGCCTGGAGCAAAGGCGGCTCAGGGGGATCTCATCAGTGTGTACAAATATGTGAAAGGAGGCAATAAAGAAGAGGGAGCCAGACTAATCTCAGTGACTAATGACCAGTGACAGGACGAAAGGCAACGGGCACAAACTGAACCATGGTAGGTTCCCTCTGAACATCAGAAAACACCTGTGTACTGTGAGGGTGATGAAGCACTGGCACAGGTTGCCCAGGGAGGCTGTGGAGTCTCCGTCCTTGGAGATATTCAGGAGCTGTCTGGACATGGTCCTGGGCAACCGGCTGTAGGTAGCCCTGCCTGTGCAGGGAGTGGTTAGACAAAATGACCTCCAGAGGTGCGTTCCAACCTCAACCATTCTACAATTCTGTGAATTTTGTGATCAGAAGAAATTAATCTGTTTAACCACAGGCCTATATTTAACTTGATTTTTTTTTGTTAGCTTGAATTTTGTGTAGTCATTCATCTGTACAACATAAGTATAAATCACTATGATTCTGATATATTGCCCTTTTACACTCTTATTTATGGTTGTAAATAACTGCTTTCAGGACAAGACAACAGAAGATTATACTCATGTTTGAAGGAAGTCTTCAGTAATTCAAGAACAACTAAATCCACTGTTCAAAGCTATAACAGCACAAATGTCAATTTTTTCCATTTACCAAACTTTCTAGGTTATTTTACCAATGTTAGTGGTCTTTTTCTCCCTGGCTGATAGTTGGGTTAAGAATCTAATCGGAAGATACTGTGCAGCTGCTAGATCAGAAAAAGTTGTTCCACGCTGGGAACAGGACTACCACCTGCAGCCCATTGGAAAACTTGGACTGTTTTATGAGTATCTTGAAATGGGTAAGTGGCAGTTTAGTTCGGATTCACTATCGCTGCTGGATACAAACATGCTGTAAAGAAAATCTTCATACAAGCAGTGCTTAATAAGTTTATAGACAGAGGAGACATGAATGTTTTCCAAGACAGGTTTTGATGAGCCATTATAGATAGTTTTCCAAGCTTTTGTTAAGCAGCTACGCCTCAATCCAATTTATAACTAGGAACCAGCACGCGATTGTACAAGGAGAACTGCTGCTTCTTTGCCCCATCCTCTCAGAAATGCATCCAGAAGTCAGACCGCTGCCATATTCTGGTGCTGTATAGCAGAGCCCTGTGTCAGACTGCTCTGACGGGGATCTGCAGTCACCAGTCATGGTCTCTTGGGAGCTGGCAGATCTCCGGTTTGTTGCCACCATCCATTCCGTCACAGCATTGCCAGCATCCTTGTGGCAGCACCCAAGCAGCAATAACATGATTGTTAGTTCGGGCTTTCCAGCACAGCACTGAGACAGATAGTCATTAGATTTCCAAGTCTTCATGACCAAGACATAAGAAAGAAATGGATGTTTAAATAACCTGAAGAGTTCCTCTTGGTGTGTGGTGACTTGTAACATTTTCCTGTCCCTCCACCTAGCAGGTTTTTTCAGTACTAATGTGCTCTTGTCTCCTCATACATGAGATCTGCCAGGAACTCAGCTACTCTTTCCTATCTCTCTCTCCCATGGTTGGACTATATAAAGTATATGTACTCATATATGCTTATCTCCAGTAAGTGAAAGCCTCATCAATGTATGTAACCTCTCCCTTTGACAGTTATACAGTTTGGCTTTGTCACTCTGTTTGTGGCGTCGTTCCCTCTGGCTCCTCTTCTGGCTCTTATTAACAACATGTTGGAAATCCGGCTTGATGCGTGGAAGCTGACGACCCAGTTCAGGCGCATGGTTCCACAGAAGGCACAAGACATCGGCGCCTGGCAGCCCATCATGCAAGGCATAGCCATTCTGGCGGTGGTCACCAACGTAAGTACCGGGCCAACAACTGTACAAGGTAAAATGCCTTCGCCGCAGGTGTTACATCCAAGCGTGGGAACGCCACGTGTGGCAATGGAGCACTTAAATGATCCTAAAGTAACTACGAGCATCAGTCCCTTAAGACGTCAGCCCCCCTCAGTTACTTTCTAGAAGTTTTGGAAACAGAATATGGCTACTGTCTAAAATATTATATCTAAAGAAAAAAAAATTTATTTAGAGTTGCTAGAGTCTTCAGAAAAATGTTATGTATGAGGACTTACCTTTCCTAAAATCATAGTGCATAATACAGAGATCTTTTCAGACAGTCTGCAGCTAAATACATACTTTTGTAAAAAATTAGGTGGCAGCTTCGTTAGGTTATAATTGATTGTTGTTTCTAATTGTTACAATTGTTATGGTCATTCCTTTGTATCTGAATTTACCTTTAGGAAACCTTGTGCTTAAAACAGAAATTCAGCTTCCTTCTTCTGTACTTAAAAATACAATGTGTGATCAAAATTGCAGCACTTTTACCTTTTGAGAGCAGAATGAATTTTCTGAGAACTTGCAAATTAATCTGGTTTTCAGTTGGATTTAAAATCAATTCTAAAGTTTTATTTAAAATATTTAGAAAAACTTTTTTTCTGTTTCATATACTCTTACCAATGAAAATTAGACCTTTCAAATTTCCCATATTGTTAATTCACAAAGATCTTATACATGGGCTGCGTTGTGGGGAGAAAAATAATCCCTTGGGCTTTACCACTGTGAATTATTTGATTGCTTATTCTTACACAGTAGCTAATATGTATTGTCCTTTCAAAAAATTCCCACTGCTGACCTTTCTCAAAAAAGCAGTGTTCACTGGTTTCCTCTGCAGGGACAGTAACACCACAGGCTGTCCACAGTTAATAGGCCTTTTTCAGCAAGGTCACATTTTCTACCATGGGTGAGATCAGGGATTCCTTCTGACGCACTTAAAAGTAGTCACTTCCTCCAGGACCTAGTCCTTGCAGTAACAGCACTTTATTGTGCTCAGTAGGAGTTTCTGGAAAAAGCACTTGAGTCTGAAGACAAGAGCTCATCTTAGCCGAAGCTTTCATGGGAGGCTCTGGCTGTTTGGAGAATGGTGGACTTTGCGTAAGAGGAGGGAGACGAAGCTGAGCACTCTACTATAGAAACTAACCTGATAGTTAGGGGACTTATTTCAAATGAAAGAGCAATACAAACTTAAGTAAGGGCATGAACTTATTTTCCTGTATCTCAGGCACCTTCTACAGTCATTATTGGGTACTTGGCTGGTCTGGGGTTTCAACCTCAGGGCTTCTGTTTTTCAGAAATAATGAGAGAGGTACATGCACCTTCTCTTCCCACACCCAGGTGAGTGTCCCTGCATATTGCATTCTCTTTTTTTCCCTCTCTTTTAAAAAGTCTTCGTTTTCCCTCTGGAAGGATGAGGCTATTTTTGAAAAATGGGAAGATGGCCTTCCATGACCTGACTGCCTATTGAGTTGTCATCTTCTCAGTAGTTTGTTTTCGTAATTTTGGGGGTTGGGAGTGGTACCATATAGAAATAGGAGTCCAGGGTGGATTTCAGTGATAAGAAAAATTTTGTATGTCATCTTCAGCTACCAGATGTATTTTCAGGTATTTGAAGGTCTCCCAAAATGGCCGTTAATCTTTTTCAGAACTTTATTTCGCACTATAGCAATTCAACATGTATGGTAAACATAGCTAGGATGTAGAGAGGAGACTCAGGAGGACATAAAAGCAGAGAATTAAGCACAGAGACATGTCAGAAGAAAAAAGGCAACTTGAAGATGGAAAATTTGCAAGAGAATCTGGGAGAAAAACAACAAGCTAGAACATATGCTCCAGCTGTTTCACACTGCTCTGCTGAGGCAAACCAAACATAAATCCAGCTGTTCCATAGGCATGTGAAACATCCAAGGCCTACTAGTATATCTGGTGTTAAAATTTAAAACAAAAATGATGCAACTTTGGTAACACACGTTCAGACTGTTAGAAATGTCAGAGATACTTTGAGGCTCTTCTGTTTTAGTGCCTGTGTAAAAAAATTGCTAGTGATAACTCTCCCAGAAAATTATGGAGATAGTGCAAATTCCTGGATGAAGCATAGCTACAGTAAAGTAGAGGTAACATTATTGCTGCATCAATATCTTTTTTTTTAACTATGCTGCTACAAAACTTATAAAATAAAAGGCAAAGAAGTTTCTGATGCCTTGGAAGAAAAACAAATATATTATGCTCTTGGATATGCTGTCTTTCCTAGTCAATCCAGCTGGGTCTGGTAATACCACTATGAAGTAAAAACTTGGATATACATCTTAAGATTACTTTAAAATATTGTTACGAGTACCTTAGTCATAGTCCTTATGATATTCAAGGCAGAGTTAAAGTGGCTTTGGTGTCCTTATGGTGACTCAGACATGTAGGCTTTTGTTAGAAATGTGTTCATGCCCTGCTCTAGATTCTGCAGAAAAATGACCAAGCAATATTTTTAGGTGTCTCTCACTACCCATCCACAACCCACCTGAGGCTTTGCAACCTTTTTTCACTGCAAATTCCTCCTTATGTGCTATACTCCTCAAGGCATCACCAAAAACATGGAGTCCTCAATGTGCAAAAATATACTGGCATCGGTGAGTCTATTAGCATGCGAGGGGCACAGCACCAGAGACTGTCAAACACCCCGCTGCGGGTGTTGTAAGGACCTCAGAGAGATCAATATTTGTTGCTAATGAAGTGTGGACTATAAAGCTGTACACTAGATCAAATGTTAGAAGCTGTTTTCCTTTAAGTATGGTGTTTTTTCTTGTTTGGCATCCAGGATCTATTATAGGCCATCAGTCTTTCCTTTACCATCCTTTCCTTGATTTTTCCTTAGTACACAGAAACTGTTTCTTCTCTTCTGTGCGACTTCTTACAGCTGATTAGACTCGGGTAGTGTATCATCTTCTCCTTCTTGCATTACCTTTGGAACACCTGTTAGTAGCTTGCAAGCAACTTTTGCACAAAGCTATCAGTTTTGCAACTTGCTACTCAGGCACTGGACTTGCTCTTGCATGATACCAAAGCATCTGTTGTTGATATGAAGACTGATTTTAATTAGTTATGGTATAAATGGAAAACTGTGTGCAGTAAAGCTTGGGAAGTAGAGAATGTGCTGTTTGTTTGTAGTTCTCCAGTGCAATACTCTGAAATGCAGCCCATAATTCAGGAGGAAAAAAGTTTTTCCTTTGAGAGGATGCCGTAGGATTAGCTTTCGTATTTCTGTCCTTGCAGCTCTCTGGAGCACATCTGGAGATCATTCCGGGAGAGGGAGGAGAGTGGGACGTGGTTCAGATTTAGAATGATGAGAGACCTGGGGCCTTGCAAAAAAATTCAGTAAGAGCAAGTATTAAGTTGTGTACATACCATATTTCAGCATCTTTCTAAATGATACACAGAAGCAGCATCAAACTCATTTGGTCCAAAGAGAGAAGGGATTTTTTTGACTTAATGTTCAGTTGCTATTAGTTCATTTATGGTCTGACTGGATGAGCTAACGAACGGAAGGAAATTATATTTATCTAAAACTTTCTGTGCTTACACTTCAGTTAAAAACAGAGTAATTTAGGTGTGAGGTCTTCTCCCTGCAACTGCAAGACACAGTAATATATATTTTTTGTCAGCCAAAACCACCTACTCTGCGTGTAAATATAAACAACACATAATTTTCACTTCATTGTACAGTGGCATGTAATGCTTAAAAACAGTTTTTAAGCGTGCATGCCAACTACATTTGATTTAAGCCAGAGTACAGTATGCACACACAAACACTTTACTGCTGAAAATTTTAAACAAGTTTATGTTAGTCTTAGGATGCCTCCCTTTTCTTCCTCATCAACCAAATTAACTTTCTCTCGACTGAACTCAAACGTAACTGTATTTTGGAGAACCAAATACGCATTTTGGACCACAGTCTCAGTCTTAAGTCTTTTTTCTGCAACTTTTGTCTTAACTAGAGTTTAGTTTCTCAGTTACTTCAAAGTAAGCCAGCTCAAAAGGTAAGGCATGAGGACAGTGTTCAACATTTGGCAGTGGTGCTACTTGAGGTGAGGTGGGTCTTGCACTCTTTTCAGCTCCTTGCCCTTTCCCTTCCCTGTCTTTTCCCCTTGTTGCTGTCTCTTGTGATGTGCTGGTACCAGCACTTTGACAAAACCACGATGAACGAGATCAAGGAGTGGGTCCAGATGGGATTCCCCACCAGATCAGTGCCATGATCTGATCTGCTGCACAGCTGCATGAGTGACTCCTAGGTGCAGAGGCAGGAGGGACGGTGGTTGCTTTAGCTAGCACTGCCACCAAAGTGTTGTTTGAGGAACTGTACAAGAGGCATTGGCATTTTTTTTCACCCTTTCTCCTTTCTCCCCTTCCCTTTATTTTACAACTGTTACAAATACCTCCTCAGGTTGGGGATCTCTTGCTGGGAATGCTGCATGAAGGTGGACAGGTTTTGCCCCATCCCATGAAAATAAGGAAACACAGACTGCATTAATTACAGTCTGACATGAAGGGGAATAAAATACAGATATTAACCAGCTCCTATGCTCCTCTGATGCCCATTACTGCTTAACTTTGCGCCTTCCTCTGTCCCACACCTTTACCACAGCTTTTTTCTGCCCCTTTTACGTATGTCTACCTACACCCGCTCCTCCTCATCTCATTAGATCCCTACTTCACACCTTTCACCTCCATGTCTCTGCCCTGGTTCTTTCCATCCGTGTTGTCAGGTGTTCTCCCCCCCTGCCACGGGACAAAAGATTTCCCTTTCAGCCCTGGAGCGCAGCTCCCACTCCTTCCTGGGTGCCGGGCACCAGAGACGCCTGTGCCGGGCAGCCACTTGCTAGGCACTCAGCTGCAGATCTTGCCAGTGGAAAGTCTTCCTCACAGGGAAACCTTTTGAATTTGCACTAGCAGAGGAGGAGATTGGATTAAACATAGTTAACCTGTCCTCCAGAACAGGATGTTTTGGGAAGTTCATGAGTTTAGAAAAGCCTTCCCACAACAAACCCACGGATCCAATTTCCTACCCAGTTTGTGACTAGCAGACTGAGTAGGACAGGGACTCTCTTGGGAGCAAGATAAAAACAAATCGTCACGTCATATGTAAAACAGCACTATGCAGCTGCTACTAAAAAAAAATACCTTGGCATCAAAAGCAGTTTCCACATGTACTGACACTGAAACTTATGAGGCAACAACTGCCAAGATGAATTTGGTCTGGCTAGCACCTCAGAAGGAGCGGGATGTTTCTAGGGTCAGAGATGGATCAGCTATATATATAATTTATTTAATTCTTTTATTCAAACCTCAGGGTTCCTGGTGAAATTTAATTTTCTGTTATTGAAGGACTCTTCCCTTGTTCCCATGAGTTTTATCAGGCAGGATTTCTTTTAAGCATCTCATCAGTACATCTGATTGATAGCAAGCACATTTGCTGAAGGTTACCTTAGAGTACTTTAAGGTGAGTTTGGCTGCTGACCTCCACTGCAGGCTCATGAGGAAAAAAGTGTATTCTAGTATAACTTTTTTAAGGCATCCAGCAGAGCTAGTGTAATTTAAAAACCATACAGAGTGCACATTCCAGAAAGAGATTGTTTCATGCCCGTGACTACGTGCTCATTTACAGAGGGAACCACTGACTGGAAAAGCACATATTTTCTATTTTTAGCTTATACTGTAAGTTGTGAGATACTAAGTATATGCCAAAGCTATACATATTAAGGCTTATTTCTTAAGTGCTACTCTGCTTTTTTGTCTTCTTTTTCTAAAATGCAGGCTATGATAATTGCTTTTACATCTGACATGATTCCTCGTCTGGTTTATTACTGGTCCTTTTCGGTCCCTCCTTATGGGAGTCACAGCAGTCACACTATGAAAGGGTATATAAACAGCACGCTTTCTGTCTTCAACGTGTCAGACTTCAAGAATGCAAGCAAGCCATTTTCCCCTTGGTTTGGGAACCAAACGACATGCAGGCAAGTGTCAAATGACCATTCTTTTCCAATGAGAAGAATAAATGTGGGGGGGTTTAATACCTAAATCATCTCATTCAATTAACAATATCCAGTAAGAAATGTTAAAACACAGTAAAAGCCAGCATATTTTGAATGGCAGAACTGAGTGGAAGTATTCATCCATAAGTTTGTGCTACTCAGAAAATTCTTACTTTATTTTGTTTTTCTCATAATTGATAGTCTTCCAAAAAAACCCCAAACAAACAGAAAACCCCCACACTGTAATTTTTTATAAGTAATTCTTAATACAGTGGCAAAAAAAAAAAAAAAAAAAAAAGGACATTTCAGCCAAATATAGCTTATTCTGCAGATAAGAAGTTTACCCATTACTGTAGGTCCGTGCAGCTAACTGTTCCTGGATGCGTTAAGCAGGCACATGTCTTGCTCCATCCTCTGGCCACAGCGCCTTACTGCAGAGAGGCCAGGGACTAGTTCCTGACTTTCCTACCTTGCTTTCAGATACCGGGATCTCCGCTACCCTCCTGGTCACCAGCACCAATATGAACATAACATATACTACTGGCATGTCATTGCAGCCAAGCTGGCTTTCATCATCGTCATGGAGGTAAGCGTGTGGGGTTTTGAGCATTACTTATTTAAACTTCGCTTCCCTCCATGCAGAAAATCCTTCAAAGATGTTCTGTCTAGGCACAGCCATCAGAGCTGGCGATGTGTGCTAACATGGGCAAGAGCTTGGGAGGTGTAAATGAAGTGTAGCACCATTAGAAAAAGAAGCCTCTGAAGTCATGACATCAGCGAAGGATTGCCCCACATGTTTGCAGTTTCTTTTCTCAAGAACTGTAAAATTATTTTTAGCATCAGAAATAGAAGGGACAGTTACACCAAAAATATTTTTACCTATACTTAGAGGAAGTTTGTGCACAGCCTCATGAATGCATATACATAATACATGTTCAGTAGCAGAGTGAAGTGTATAAAGACAGTCACTGCAAGAGGTGAGTCTCTAGATGAGCATTGAAAAGCAATTGCTCGTTCCTCTGCAGCTACAATCTGGGCTTATGAAAGACGGGAGTTGGTCTAGGATGAAGGGAGAGGAATATTCAGTATTATTTCATTATAAAATGTACTTAGGGCCTGATCCAGGGACCACTGAAGTCATCAGAAACATACAGCTGGTTAGATCAGAGTTCCCATAGCAGAGAAAAGTCCATTGCCCCAGAGTCATTTGAACAAACCTAAAAAAATTTTAAAAGAAACTGTAACCAATATTTCCATGGGGGGGAGGAAGCACTGGGTACCAGGGTTCCCCCAGAGCAGGTGGAGAAGTCCTTGTTAAAATCAGGATTAGAAAATCAGAAATTCTTGTTTATCAGACAATTATTCTATTCATTAGTCATGTCTGCTTTTTAAAATACTGTTCCACTGTGACAGATACTGGTACAGAACCAGCTCAGAGTCTTAAGAGATAATGTGACATTTCATTTATAATAATAATAATGTCCTGTTCAGCCTGACTGACTTTTTTTTTTTCCATTTTCACCTTCCCCAGCATGTCATATACTTCGTGAAGTTTATTATTTCATACATAATTCCGGATGTATCACAAAAGACCAAGAGCAAGGTCAAACGAGAGCAATACCTAACACAGAAACTCTTGCATGAGAATGATCTCAAAGTTGTGAAAAAAACCATGGGGAAAATTGCCAACAACATTATCAAAGGAGTAGACAGCACTTTCCGACCTAAAGCTGAATAAGTACTTTTTTATATGGAATAACAGTATTTAGCCAACTAATACCTGTCCAGATACTACCAATAGCTAATCAAACACTTTGGATTAATTTCCTTTACTAAACATTGTTTCTTGCAACTGTTACCTGCTCAGTTACCTGGACAAATGCAACCACTGCAACTCAGATAAGAGTTATCAATTTTTTTAACAGCTTTAGTAGGACTTATTTTTTTAACACGTGAAGATAAAAATTATTTATCACCTTAAGACAATGCAGATTAATTCTCAAATGCATAAAGTGCTTTCCACTTTATTTATGCATCGGTTATTAGATCTCTTGTTTGACTTGAATAAAACCTTAAGAACAAGAATGATTTGTTGTACGAATGCCATCACGTCTTCTGAGGGAGTTTTGATTACTTGCTAATGCAAACCTCAACTATAAAATGATAGAGGAAAAGCCAAAACATGAAGGAGAGAAAAGGAAAATACAGCTCAAAATCATGTTGTTAAGCCATTGGAATTGACATACTAAGCGCTGTTGTGTGCTACACTGAATTAGCTATGCATACTGAGACCTAAATGGATAACAAGATATTTCAATTAATCATGGACTTGGATCACAAGAAGCAGCAGGACTGTAAGCCCATCCTGTTCATCAATCTCTGTGTAAACAGGAGAATTGCCTGTGAAATCAATGCATACAAACTGACTTTACAGCACTCTGAGTGAGTAGAAAACTCAGGCATTTTGTCAATGTACTTTCATTAGTTCACGCACCTATTCTGCTCTGAATGACCATAGATAGCCTTGAAGGTCTCCTACCTGTAACAGTAATGAGTGTTAAAAGTCTTTTCACATACTAAATCAATATTTGTGGAGGGCTGTCTTTTACATTTCTCCCACACCAGAGGCACGTGCCTGATAGATTTCGATGTAGGAAGAATGTGCAGCTGGACCTGTTGTGACACAACATTGCGTGATAAAGTGATTTCTGACAAGACCATGAATCTATTGAAACTGGAGATTGGAATAAACCATTTAATATGCCTTAACCATGTTAGGAAGCTTTAAATAACCAGGAGGGATGTTAGAGGTGTGGATGCATGTGCTAGAGCCATCAATCATCTTCAAATTGGGCTGCAGATCTGCTTGGCTATTTTGTCTCCAGTTGCAAACTGGGAGTTAAGGAATTACAGATTAAGCATGTATGTAGAGCTCCGCTTTGTGTCTGCAGCCATGGTAGTCCATATTATTAACTTGCTTTCTCTTTTAACAGCTTTAGTGTTTCTACAAATTCTGAAAACCAAAATGTTGATAAAAATGTAAAAGTATGTCTGTAGTCTGTAAACCAGGTGATTACTGTTGGGTTTGTGATTTTGTATTCTTCTTAAATGTAATAGATATGCAGAATTTTTAGGCAGATTTTTCATATGGCTTTTTACATATTAAGAAGTTCATTTGCAGAAACTAAGTAACATTTATAAGATGTATTTTATGCCATTAATAATCAGAAGGAATCAAGTGTCTGAATTTTGTAGCAAAACTTCCAAATATTGACTGCCGTGTACCTTAAGGCTATCCTTTGAAACGGCAACATTTATACCAGATGAGGTAGCACATAAGGGGAATCCTTTCAGCAGTCATGATACACAAGCTTTCACTCAGCCAAACCTTGCATGATTGCATGGAAGAACATGCAAGGAAAGCTTCGTTCAAAAATCAGGGAAAGATGAAACAGAGAAACTCATAGGTTCCAGAGAATCATTTCTGACACTGAAGTACTGAAGCTTACTTATTATAATGCCCAGAAAACTTTGTGTAGACACCACCTGAAGACAAAAAAAGATGCAGAAAAACAAGATAGACTATAGCATCCAGAGATAGACAGTCATCCAGAGAAGCGATGGAACCAGTGCTTCTTTGCACAGGGAATTCTACCCTTTGCCATTTGTTTTGGTTTAGTCAGAAGCATGACAAGTCTTTAATTTACCAGGAAGCAAATAGAAATTGGGCAGATGGACAAACACTCGGAAGTTTCTAAACAGGACAGAATTTCTTACCAAAATATATAGCCTCAATACTGGTTTGAACTTTTCCCTGGATCACTGGATGATGGTCAGGGCTGCAAGGGACCTCTGAAGGTCATCTGGTCCAACCCCCCCCCTGCTCAAGCAGGGCCACCTAGAGCAGGCAGCCCAGGACCGTGTCCAGACAGCTTTTGAATATCTCCAAGGATGGAGACTCCACAACCTCCCTGGGCAACCTGTGCCAGTGGTCAGTCACCCTCACAGTGAAAAAAATGTTTCTTGATGTTCAGAGGGAACCTCCTGTGTTTCAGTTTGTGCCCATTGCCTCTGGCCCTATCACTGCATAGTATACCAAACTTCTGTTTAAAACAAGTTTTTGTCCAAAAACCTGTTTTGCTTCAATTTTAGTGAAGTACTCAGGACTTCCCTCTGCAAAATGAGTTTGATTATAAAGGCCAGTCAGCTCCTTGCAGACTTGGAAGTTTGATTTTAGCTTTGAACTGGCTCTTCCCCATCTGCAGTTGTGTTCAGCCGAGATGCCATTTTCATGCCCCATCAGTGATGACAGTGCCAATGTGCCTTAAACGCTCTTTCAGGTGCGGTGTTGGAAGGGCTGCGGCGGGCAAGGAGGCATCCTGTGACAAAGGCAAAAAAAATGCTTCACGAAATGGACCATTTCAGATAATTATTTGGTCTTAAGGAAGCATTTACTGCTCTCTTTGAGAGGTAAAGAGACTAGGAAACAAAGGAATTAAGTGCCTTGCCTGGGGTCACACAGTGAGCAGTGGCAGAGCTTAATGCTGGTTTTCTGGAGTGCCTGGTCCTCTGCTCCTTGTCTGGTTCCTGTGGCCTCTCTGCGTTGCCCCTTTTTACATCAGTTGGCGGCGTTTCCTAAAGGGGGAGTTTGCCCTCAGCGTCATCGAGAGTTTATATTCCTGCCTTTAAAATAATGATTAAAAAACCATGCTACATCAGCAAAGCGTGCGTATCTTGGGCGCCTCCCATAATAAAATCCTAATCAGCTTTGGGTGTGTTTCTACATTAACATTTTTGTTCAGATCAAGAGTGTGCTTTTGAAACTAGTTTTCCACTTGTCCCCACTTTCTGGGCGGTGCTTCCCGTCACAGACTGGTCTCAAGGCACATGGACTGGATTCCTCTTGATTTAAACTGAACCAGAAGGAAGGTTTTAGATATGCACTTAATGGTCTCTGACAGGCACTTAGTCCAGAGAGCTAAAACCAGAGCTAGGCTGAAGAGAGCAGCGAGAACTGCGTGGGCATCAGCTAGTCAACATCAACTTTTTGCTCTAGTGATTTGCTTCCGAAGTGCCACGCTCCTTGCTAATGTAGCTGTAACGTTGCATTTCAGAAGACATTATATCAGGAATTCAGTTTGGTTTGCCGCATGCACAGTGTTATTCACAGCACAGTTCTGAATGAGAGAGAAAGAAGAGGAAAACCATCAGAGTGCCTAATAATTGCATGTTAATAGTCAGATCTCTTAAGCTGTGCAATTTCTGTAGCCTCTACCTCCAACTGCTGAAATCTGCTCTGCTTGTACGCGGGGAGCTCTGCGCAGGCATCAGAACAAGATGCTGGTGGGGGGGGGCAGCTGCCAACAAATGAGTATTTGTAACTTTTTTTTCTTTTTAAGGCTAGGTCACTTTAATAATATTTAAAGATTTGCTTGAAGGGAAACTTAACATTTGTTTTAAACTATGAATCAATTTTACTCTTTTTTACATTTTATATGTAAGCCAGACTCTTCCTTTGTACAGATTTGTTGAAGTCAGTGTGATTTTGGACCAGTGACCATCTCATTGCCTTAACAAGCACCATGAATTACAGATCGTCGCCACTGTTTTAGACTCTGTGTATATTGATAAAATTCAGAATGTAAAAGTGTATTTTTTTGTATTTTTTTCTAAGAATGTTTGCTATTAGTTTCTGAATATTAAGTTTTCTTTATATTTATTGTCATTACATAAAGTCTATTTTTAAATAACAATAAATCTGATGTTGATTAGCATTGTTTGTTTTTCCATGAACAATACTGCTGCTGCCAAATGCCACATTTAAATTCTTAGAATGTCATCCCTGTCTAATTTCCATATTCCTCCTCTTTTTCAATCTTTTCCCATTAAACTGTTACAGTACCGAAATTTATCTCCTGTTTTTTCTGCATCCTCTAGATGGAAGTCATTCCTTTCAACACCAAGTCGACGACAAGGACCATTATGTTCTCATACAAATAAACAGTTTAGGTCTTTATACCCTTTCCCTCCTGTCATGATAAACCCTGTGTTATGTTTCAGAGTCATCACTTATTTCTTCGTCTGTGATGCTCCCACCTCCGGGCAGTCCACTCTGTCTGTCCCTGCCACCCAGGCACCAGTTCTCTTCTCCTTCTGCTCTGACTGTTCCTCTCTACTTTGAGGAAATCCTTTTCTAAGACTTAGAGAACAGGAAGGTTATAGAGTCATTTTGAACAAAGGCTTTCTTTGCATTGAGGTCTGCTGGTTTGTTTTTTTTTTTTCCCCTGAGGGATTCCCAAGATCTGCTTTAAGTGCAGCTTTGTGGTAGTTGTGGAAGCAGAGCTACCACCACTTCCAACCTGTTTTCTGCTAGGGGCTATGTGTCTTGCAGATGCCAGTGCCCAGGCTATTCTGCCACTCTTGCATCAATTTGGCTTTGTCAGAGGGAGAACAAAAGGAACCTCATGATGAAGCATAAATAAGGGTTCTTTTCCTACAAGCAGAAGGATATAACATCATCACAGGCTAAATCTATGTGAGGATAGTGTGCTTTTAAATTGACTGATGATACATTTAAAACCCTTCTAAGAACAGGCTTTAGTATTTTTCTACTTAACACACAAATAGCCGAAGTAGCATATTACTTCTGGTGTAGCCTGCTTAGTTTTAATTCTTCCTGTCACAGTGCAGATGAATCGCACTGGTTTTGGATACCCAGTATGTGCCAGATGAACACAA